GCATCATGTTAAGAAAAATGCTGAAAGTAAAAGCTGGTATGATAATGTTTTACCAAGTTTGTTTCTAAATGCAATTCGCAGGAGACACAATCCAACACTAGCAGATGTCTCCAAAGGAAAGATGATACGAATGCAATCTATAGATTTAACAGGTAACACTTGGAATTAACCAAATCTTGTGCAGGGTGATGGGTAATATTTGCATGTCATCTGTATTAGGTCATTGCAATAGCACATAAAGGGCATGTGATACTGGAAAACTAGTAAATAGCAGAGTAAGAATAAATGGAAATTAATGAAATGGGAATTATTTAATGAGACATATTAAGACCTTCTAAAAAGCCCTGTAGAACAACTTCATCCATATGAAATAATTAATTTCAAGTGAGTTAATTGTCAACTAACACCTAGAATTCTTCTATAAATGAATTGGTATCAGATGTTTAAAAAAACTCTGAAGTGGTTTTCATACAGAATTGTAATACTTGTTTCCCCATAACTTTTAAGGCTTAAACACATAAAAGCAAAAACCAGGATAGCTGAATAAGACCATGAATGGGACAACTGGTGGCTTTACATGCATTAAAAACTGATTCAGCTTTGGTTTCATGGTTTCTTCATCAGGGTCTTTACAGTGCAAGTTTCACTTCACTACCTTGGGAGTAGCCTCAGTGGAGCCGAATGAAGCTGCTCACATTGGTAGTTTTTTTCCACATGTGACCTCCCAGACATCTGACCTCCTTCGGGTTTCCGTGTAGCAACTTGTAGCAGTGCTGCACCCACCCCTAAGGAGCTAAATTGCTGCAGCAAAGATCAGTCTTTAATTAATTAAAAACAGATTCATTAGGAGAATGAACCAAGGGATACCTACAAGCATTGGTGCTTCTGAGATGATTATTTATCATCAGTTTATTCTTTGTAGGTTACTGCAGAAATATTTTTTTAAAACACTATTCCGTAGATAAACCCTTCAATATATGCTGCTGCTACAGTTCAGGGGCACAACAGACCAATAACTCTGGATGTGTAAAGTACAGGGGATTTGAAAGGAAACAAGGATTTCACATCTGAAAGTGAAGGAATCAGATTTATTTATGCCCCAGTCTTTGCAGTCTCACCTGGTGCACATCTTACAGGGATCATGTTATGACAAACACAAGTGTAAATTTTGGTACATGTCATGATCTTAAATAATCCTTGCTGGTTGTATGAGTTGGGCAGTTTAGGAGCCCTTCAAACTCTTTAACAATGGGAATGTCAAAAGACACTGCTTTGATGGCATCTCTTTTCCACTATGTTTGTAGACATACAGGTGAAATTAGAATTTGGCAGAACGGTATGTCTAACTGACCCCACAACTCAGGAGCCAGATGTGTTCACACAAACTCAAGGCCATCTTTTGTTCCAGCCCAGCACGGGGTGGGGGGGGGGAGAAATGTTGATAATTTGCAGAGTTTTATACTTTTGCTTCAGAGCAGACCACTATTTAAAACATAGATACTATTTGCAAAATGCTTGTAATAGAACACCCGGTTTAAAATTTGTCCTGGAGAAGTATTGCTATGCAGCAGCAAGCTCACAACAGGAGACTTTTGTGCATCCTTTCAGACCTTCAGAAAATTTAACTACCTTTACAGAGTCAGCTACCTAATTCATGAAAGGAGTGATATATAACACTCATTTGACTTGCACGAAGTCATGCTAATTTAAAGAACACAGTTCTGGTTTTTCTCAAGAGTTCTCAGTTGTGTTCAAAAACTCAAAGCACGCTTCAGTAATAGGTATCTGTACTCTCTTTGGTGTGAAGTCGATGTAAAACTGCCACCTATAGAGAATGTCAGCACAAATAATACAACCACCAACGAGAGGGTGACCTACAGGGCACAAAATAGAACAATGTGCCCTAAAAGGGGTAAGATTCACAGCACTATGTTTATGTTGCACCAAAGTAAGATGAATAAAAGTGAAAATGGCTATAAACTCTGTATGGTAAGGACTGATATTAGCACTAAATGTATTTAATGTCCAGGTCACTAATGACCTGGAAGGTGTAAAAAAATAATGAAATTTTCAGAGAAAACTGAAGATTATTTCTGCAAACAACTGCTTGTGCAGATTTTCAAGGGGAGCAATTATTGTCTTCAGCGGGATTACTCCCATCCACACAATTACACCTAATTTAGTTCTGACAAGATCAGGGACAATGCTGGAAAGATCTCAGATTGCTATGCAGGAAGTGAGAACTAATACAAGCAAATTCAGATAATTATAGCAGCAGCTAGGAAACTGAAAACCAAGATTTAGACACAACAAAATCAAACAAATACAAAATGGTGTAAATCAGCAGGAATAAGAAAGCCCAGCATCTAAACATCCACCAAAACTTTTCATGAAATATCTAAAAAGTCTTGAATCATACATCTTAATATAGCAACAAAGCAAGCTAACATATTTTCAGATTGATTACTCAAAAATTTCCTGAAGCAAAGAAAAAGCTTTCCATAAGGCTGTTTTACAGTTACTTTGGAGGTACCCTTTCTGTCAGAAAATAGGGACAAAAAGGCATGAATAGGGAGAAAATAAAACTGAGAACTGTCTTCTGGTTAGCAGACATCATACATCATTTTTTCAAGTGATGACTAAGCAGAATGTGGCCATACCTGCCTACAAATATTTTCATGATGTAAACATCAAGACAACAGATGATTTATTTAAAGTTGTTCAAGTAGGCAGAGCTAGAAATAACAAGAGGGAAAAAGAGAAAGAAATTATGCAGACTAACAAGAGCATTTCTGGCACTGAATCACGTAAAACTGTACGAGGCCAAATGAAGGCTAAAAGTCTCTCATCTTTGAGACACTGAGACAAAGTGGGATGAAGATGTGCCAGCTGCAAGATGGACGATGTTGTGATTGCCTGGAACTTCACAATGTTGCAGAGATTTGTCATGGCGTAAACCTTATTCACTCCGTCACCGTGGCATTAATAATACATTCAGAATAACTTACGATGTCCATGAGAAATTAAATTGATGACTCAGGTTTTCTGGATTGTAGTCTAATAAAGATAATGATTTATTCTTTTTCTGTAGAAATGTGAGTTCATCAAGGCTGTAGAAGGAAAGGCCATCAAAAGACCTATATAACGCTGCATAAAAGATAAACTGCAAAAGCAATTTCAAGGAGGTGACATAATGGTGGCAGCACTAAGAGAAGTTTTCTCTAAATCTGAGATCTATTATTGTTTCAGTGGTAGGTCTTGTCAGACATAGCAGACACATGAAATGATAGGAAAGTATAGTTATTTAGTAACACTGAACATTTTCTATTCTTACACTTCTTTTTTTTTGCTGGTCCTGAAGCCCCTGACTCGTTACTGACTTTGTGGGAAAGGAGGATTATCTTAGCTTCACTAATTCATTATTCAAAGCCTGTTTTGCTGCTTACACCATTTCTACAGTTTTAGCTCTTTAATTCAGCAGCACTGATGCTCTTTTTCTAATATTGGTAATCAGTGGTAGTTAATAACAATCTAAGCAATTACAGGCAGGCATAGGCCTACCATGGAAAAAACTATGAACAACTGAACTAAAAAGGGAATTAAAAAACTCAAGAGGAGTGACATGGAAAATAATAGAGGAGATGATGGAAAAGATTAAAGAAGGACAACAAAGCAGAGAGAGGACCAGAAGTGAATAATGAATAGACGAGAGCCTGGTGGGAGGCAGGATACCCAGTAAGAATAACAGAATTAAACAAAATGATCTAGAGAGCAAAATAAGATGGGAGTGAAAGGGAGATGGTTGAGAAGAAAGGAAGATCAGATCCTTTAACAAGAGCAAAAGATGAATCCACCAGATCAAATTAAACCATAGAAATTTGACCACTGTAAAATAAATTGTAAGTAGAAGCATGAGAGTACAGAGGAAACTGGGTAGTAGTGGAGTGAAAGCAGAGAAATGGAATGGATCAGCTAATAAGTAAAAATTCTCGCAGTTGTTGGCAGCTCTGGCTTTCTTTTCTTTGCACAAGTTTCTTGATCTGAGACAATGTAATTCCACTAAGGAAGGGTTTCTCAAACCGTCTTCAGAGCTCACTGATAATTTTTGGTGTTCAATTAACACCAGTTTAGGAAGGTTCAGTTAAACTGTAGCAACCTCAAGATAGTATTTTTTAGGGTATGCTCAATATCATTTTAATAATACTGACTTAGTAGAAGTAGTTCAAGCCCCTTCATATTGGCACAAATAAGTTAGTCAGAAAATGCAACAAAGCAGTGAGCTCTCATTAATAAAAGAAATGCATTATGTGTGCAAGGCATAATATGTCTTCATGCACATTTACATTAGGGACTGTATGTTTCAATGAATTGTCATATTTCCACACAAAAAGGATGTTATCAGTATTAATAGAGCTGGAGGTAGATCAAGCTGAGAAGCAAAGAATGATAAGACTTGATCTAAGTTTTGTTGAGCAGAAAGATTATAAATACTCTATAAAGCAGAAGAGACCTCAAAATTGGATCCAGTAATGAGATTTCATATAAATTGGGTTCAGTACATAGCACCTCTGATAAATCTGAGCGAGGAATTTCAATAACACACACATGCGCTATAAAAACCTGTCTAGTGATATCACTATAAATTATCAAATTAAATATCTTATTTGAATATTGACTGTAGGCGGAATATTAAGTAAAAAAATCAACATTCAAAATATTCTAGATTATTTTATAGAGTTATGCATCAACATCAAATACAGTCTTACAAAGTTTTGTCTAGATTTGCTGAACATAAGAACTGAAACGATTTTTAAATTGAGAGACAGAATATGGATACCCTAAAAAATAGAATTATATTACATGACTCTCTAATATACTTTGAGTGCTATTTATTCCTAAAGGTAGAGTACTTACAGGCTTTCGAGTTGGAGTAACTTGAACAGAATGGTAAAATTCTGGTTGGACTCGGCTGCTTTTCTTGATTTTTCTTTTTCTTACAGAAGTTTCCTGCTCACTTAGATGGTGAGCTTCCACTATAGGCTGTGTTTCCTCAAGGCGAGGTGCTGCACGTCTTCGAGCATGACGAGGACTTGATCTAAAGCCCTGTGACAGAAAAAGGCATCATCGTGTTTGGCATCTCCCCGAATGGAGCCATGTAACATCAGCAAAATCACACAGGATCTTAACAACGACTTGAGGTATAGGCATGCTCACCTTACATTAATGGAATGTCCATATATACTGCATGTAACAATAAAGAGATGTTGCCAAGTGCTGATAATATCACATATGTTTTATGTTTCTCAATCACACATATTATTGACACAGCTAGTAGCAGTAGCTCCTGTTGCTTTGCTTCATAAGCTCATTCTTTTAGTTATTTATAACTAAATAGTTCTAATTTAAAATTTATAATTAAAATTTTCCAGGTTAATTCTTGGCCTCACGAGAAATTGTTTTAGGGAGTGTGGGCTGCAAAGGTGCGTTGTTGCTTTTTTTTTCCTGAGAATGAAAACGAAGAAAAATTGGTCAGATTATAACCAACATTTCTTGTAAAGAGTTCAGATAGTGCTAGAGCTGGGGGAAAATCCTACCATTTGGAATAAATAATTAAGACAGAGTGCTCTCTTTTGCTATCATCTGAGAAATACAGATATATTTGGCCAAATTAATAAACTCAGGAAAAGCCGCCTTTCAGAAATGCTCTTCAGAGGCTTGCTGAGAAAACCTCTGAGCATCATCCAAAATGGTCCATGGCCTTATAGAATTTGATTCCTTTAATGGCAACATATATAATGCTATCCCTGTATTGCTACCTGCAGAGCATTTACAATGAGCATTCCCTCATTTTATCGAGACCCCTCATGAGCATGCACAAGCCTGACATGCACCATTTGTGCTGAATACAATGTTGGTTGATATTAAACTTGGCCAGGTTGTAATATCCATTCACTTAGTCACATCAGCTTTCAGATTAAGTGAGCCAAATCTGTGTCCTTAGTGACAGTCTGCAGTTTAAAGGCTACATTTCCTTTCAAAGCTAAGAATAGATGCAATAATTCCTAATTTTCTAACTTCTTTTCTTCTAGGTAAATATCTCTGCTGAAGTCCTTATATAACAAAGCCAGCATTCAGAAATGGCTGGTCCATAGAAAGATTCAAACTTCTCCAAGGTTAGATTTTAGATAAAACTAAATAAATTTATTCTGTGACTCCAAATATCCTGAATTCCTGCCAGCAGAAAACTAGTGGGAACAATAAATTTCCATATAAACCTGCTGGGATTTTTTCCTCATTCCCTTAGCTTTTGGGTTTTGTGTTTTGTTTTGCCTTTTTTGTTGTTGTTTTAATTAAAAGGTCAGCATAGCAAAGTTATGTTAAAATGCTGTTATGAAGCAATCAAAAGTAGATGTATGGCTCTGTGAAAATAGGATTTACTCCTCTAATGTTCACATGACTGCAAGGGAGGACAGCAACAGTCTGTTCTGGACACTCAGACAGACAGACAGGTATCTTCATTGTTCTCCATTAAGTAAATATATTTTAAATGGCCAAAACACACAAACACATATTTACATACACATGTTAGTGATTGCTACAGATACACATGGCATGCAACAGATGATGTGAAAAGGTTGAAGTGACATGGTGAAGTAAATTCCAGGTAATAACATTCTACTCCTGAACACTGGAGAAGAGGGACAGGAATAGAGCCCAGCTCTACTTAGTCAGTCTGATAAGTTCATATATGTGGTGCATCAGGGATATGAAATACATATGATGGAGGGATATGGACTAAATTTCTTCAATCTTTCTTTATGATACCTCTTACTCTATTGAAGCAATAGAATTGTTCAGACTACAGATAGGGACAGACTTTGACACTCTGTATCCCAATGGAATCCATATCAACCAAAGCAAGCAGTACAGTGAAAGCCACTGCACCAGAAGATCTGCATAGATTTAGGAGGACCTCCAAACATTCAGAGATGTAGATCTGTGAAACACTCTGCCACACTATTGCACTAGCAAAACTTATTGCCGCATTTTTTTCCTACACTGTGAAACAGCTAACAGAGACTTACAATGTATCTGTCCTTCAACCTGATACTAGGAACTATTCGGGATGACAGGAAAAAATACAGCACAGGGAGCCTACTATTACAGAGCTTACCACTCGTGGAAATTTTCTTTTAGAAAAAATGTTAGTGTGCATCAGGGATTATTCCATACTAAATGAAAATATTCCTCAAGCGACTAAAATACCCAGCAAATATATTCCAAATTTTGAAATCAAAACAGATTTTCTAAATGCATTATTGTTCATTCACCCATGATGGCTACTGGCCGAAGCCTTGTGATATACACTGCACTGCAGCTGTTCCCTCGCCACACTCCCATTAGCTGGATAAAACTCTTCTGGAAAGTATGTTTATGTAACAGAAGAATTGATAGAAGCTAAGCAGCTCTGTAAGTGCTTAGAAACGCATGCCAAATAGGGATTTAAGTATGTGAATCTGTCTCACTGAGTGGCTTCACCTCAAAATATGTCAAGGTTTACTGATTATTATGTTTCAATATGAAAAAGTCACCTGTGACCCAGAAAAATCTGTTTATAGACAATGCTTTGCTTTGACATTTTATATATTTTTCTCTTTTGCTGTTTATTACTAGCAGGAAAATGGGATCTTTATCTCTTTAAGAGCTCATCTGCTTCTGTTTGCTGAAGCTTATTCTTCTCTTGAAGTCATAATCTGCCTGCAGTATCACAAATGGTTGCTGTGGGGAGGATTATAATGTGATAAAGGCAGAGGATCATGATTTCAGGTGGAAAATTAATTCCATACCAACAAAGATAATGTTGCAAGGGCAGAGTCCTCCGACCAAAACCCAAATGCTTACTCATTCCTGCTATGAGACTTTGCCAGAACAAAGACTCAGATCTGGAAAATTTCAAAATTTGGTAGTGAAAAATAAAGGCAAGAGTTGAAAGTGATAGAAGTTAAAAGTAAATTATGGAAGCTGCTACACCTATGATCACTGCAAAACTAGAACGGCTAGTGGTTCCTTCCAAACAGTGAAATGAACCAAAGCTTCTTGTGTCATCTGTGTTATTTATCCTTCAGTTTAGCCCAGAATTGAAAAAATGCTATTAAAACAGCAATCAAAATAAAAAAATGTAGAAATCACAAATATCTGTTTGGCAAAGACATCACTATTCTATATGTTAAGTCAATGCTCAAAGAATAGCAGAAAAATGTTACAAAATATTCAGGAAAGCACAATACATCACCTGAGACCAAATTACTGAGGAAACGTTGGAGATTTTAAAATCACATTTATAATACACTGATGTTGCTCTAAAACCATTAAGCAACTTGTAATTTCCACTATCATGTGAATGCTGTGTCACTGGGCAGTGACAAACTTTTTCTTGTTCTTTGCAGTGGGAGGGAGTTGCTCGGTAGTAGACCCTACTACCTGACTCATTTTTGTGCCTGTAAAATTCTGAAACAAGGCAAACCAATAAAAACTTCAACTATGTATTTTAGAAAATCTATCTTCCAAAGACTAAAATAGCTGCACAAATATTTACACCAAAGTATTCTCTCTTAAAGAAACAACACAGATGATCATCAGAACCAGTTTTAGATATATCAGAGGAAGACAAGAGGCAAACTGAACCTGAGATTATCTTCTCTCCAAAAGCATTCATGTGCATCCTTCTGGTTAGAGTCAGTTTGAATCCATGAAGAATGATCTCCCTAATCATACTCTACAGTCAGCAGGAATAGAGAGGTGTCTCTGGAGGCTGTTGCAGAGCCAAAGCCTAGTCCATCTGCTCTCGAGGGAACTTTTCTGTCTGAGGAAGTAGGCTAGGGAAATCAGCCTCTTCTAGCTGAAACTCATCCTTTTAAGTTTCCTTTGAAATTGTGAGGTGGGGTTTTTTTCATGGAATGAAGTGTGATAATATTGAAAGAACCTGTTCTGTCTATCTTTACACCCAAATCAGTGATGACTGTTGCCAGCCTGGGCACTGCATGCCAGAGAACACCATGTAAAATTGCTTTCACAGTAAGGTGTTCTGTAAAAAAATATCTTCTTATCCAGCCAAGTTTTAACTTCATATCTCTGATTCAGTGACCAGTTTCTTGTCTAGAGAAACACATGTGGGTTTCCTCTGACCAAAGTTCATCAGACCTCCTCTCCCTGGGTTGCCCTTTAACCCACTGAAGCCAGCAGAGCAGATGAACCATTCCCTAACAGCATCTAGTTCTCTGCCTGTAATAGGAGCCCAAGCTGACTACTTCACTTATAGAAATCTATACTGTCAGTACCCAAAATTAGACAGGATGGATCAGGCCTATGATGATTAGGTTTTGGTCTGCCTTCAATACAGTATTCATCATTCCATATGTGTTTTATCATCAGACTTCCTCCTTCTTTTCCTCCTTCTACATGAAATGATTCTGGTCTCTTCTATATTTTTTTTTCTTCTGAGATGTTTACATGTCCTTATTCACAGACATCACTCTTGCTGGATCCCTGTAATTCAGTACTCTACTCTTATAAATCCATATTACTGACATATATAATAGTAGAATGTTTCCCATCCCATCTTCTCTCTGATGAGGCTATACATCTAAAAATGGTCGTCACTGAACTGTCAAAAGTCATTCAGAAGTCCCTTTCTGGAGACCATAAACCTAAAAATTAAGAAAGAGGCTAAAGACTTTTCTCTGTAATATACTCAACTTTGCATCTCTGAACATCATTTTTGTGTTTATTTGCCCTATTTCTTCAGTGTGGTCTGATATTTGATAATCAAGTATGTCATACTCTGCTATCCTTGTTATGTTTTTGCTTATTCTCATTCCTAATTCAGTCATCATAAAACCCAGGAATTTGAAACATCCTAAAAAACTCGACTAGCTTTTGTTGGGGGTTTTTTGGTTTTGTTTTGTTTTGTTTTTTTAATTTACAGATAAGGATATTTTGAAAAATGTGTTGAACCTTTTTCATTCATTCTCTTAGTTTTTCTGTGTTTATTTTTAATTCTTCATCTGGTACTTGAATATCACCATATGAATACATCAGTGTTATTCCATGTATGCATTATTGCTTTAGTGATATGAATCTCTGACTTATCCATTCTTTCAATGCACAATTGTATTAATTCACCAGATCATTTTCCTTTCCATTCTAGCTTCTACTAACCCTACTGCCTTCATCATACATTATCTATTATTTTTATGCTTGATAAGAAACCATATTCAGTTTTCATTTTTTCCATTGTGTAAGTATTTTGTGTAGAATATATTGGGTGAACTTGAACCCAACCTTTCTAGCCAGTATGTGTTTTTGGAGTCAACAAACATTAATATCATCAAGGTAAGAGTGCATTATCTTATGTCCAGCTGAAGTCAGTAGAAATCTTTGCATTAACTTCAGTGGGCACTGGACTGCAGCCCAGTTTACCTTCTGGCAGAACTTCAGTAAATGACAGAAAAAGTGCTGGCTTGCATTAAGCCATAATTCAAAGACAACAGAACTCAACTGTGTTTGCAAAGGCCTGTAGAGATATTTTAATAAGCCTTGTAGATTAATGCACTTTTTAAGGTGCACTAATGGCTATCAAAGCCAAAAGAAGCTCAGGTAGGATATCCAACCTCATGTGCTTGCTTTTAAGGTTTTTGACAGTGGTTGTGTGTGCATGAGAATTGTCATCTATTGCCATTGTCAATTAAGGGCCTCAAGAAACAGTCTTCAAATTGTCAGTTACCGCATGTTTAAAGCTTGAAACTTTCATTTATATGCAACCTACAACACCTTAGGGCCTGAGCCATTAGAATGCATAGTATCAAACCTGTTCTCAAGACACTGGCGTTCTCAGCTGTTTTGCAGTCAGGCTGAAACAGAACTAAACCCTATAGTTGGAGGACTTACTTGAACTAAAAAGGGAGGTTTAATGCAATAACTTTATTGTATGAAATTCCCTGCACTCTGAAAGAGAGAAATCTGAGATTCTGTCTGCTACAAAGAGAAACATATATATATATGCATCTGTATTGTAAGAATAGTTTCAAAAAGTGACCCATATTGTATTATTCCCCTCATTCCTCTTCCATCATGATTTCCATCCCAAATACCATCAGTTTACAAAGAAACAACAACAAAAAACCCACAACCAACATTTATTTAACTGGCATATATGCCAGTTCTGCAAGTTCAACCCAAAATCCAAGATTCAAGTTAAATTTTCTGAGCTATTTATATATTCTCTTTAATAGTGAAGATCGCTAAGTAATGCAAAGTCTTAATTTTCTATCATAGGAAGATTACCTACACTCACTGAGTGTATTACTTCACAAACACCCAAGAAGGATGCAACTGCATTTGATTTTATCAGGATTCTTTCTTGATTCTATCAGGACTAAAAAACAGACTGCAACCTTTTTGTTTGTGTATGTGGTTCTCTTGATTTTATTTTTTTGATCTTACAAAGGGTTATTTCTATCAAGATCTGAATGAGGATTTAAAACATAAAATGTATGATTTTACATTCAATTTCTCATTCCACTCCCTCATTAGCAAGCTTTCACTGACGCTTCTTCACATGCCTTATGTTATTTTAGGAGATATTATTCTTATCTTCTAAACCTAAACTCTAAGCAGTGCTGGAACCATTTCTCAAATATTGAAGACTGTGATTTGGCAAGTGTCATATTCCAAGATAAGTCCACACATTCAAAGGCATCTAAAGCAATTGTCTTTTACATAACCTGAACAAGATTGCTCTTCCAAAGGAGTTCAAGAAATAGAACATCAATAACCTGCTTTCCAGTTCATAAGCAAGTACCTGAGTATATACATAGGAGCCTTTGTGTGAAGCTAGGTTTAGGTGTGAATTTAGAATACAGTTTCTAATAACCCATGCTGTGTTACACTTCTGTTTTACATGACATGTTTGGTTTTTCCTGTCATAAGGTCAGGACTCCGGTCAAGCACAGGTAAGCTGTAACACTAGGAAAATCTGATGATCTGCCAGCAAATAGCCAAATAGCACGCCCAGTCATGCCTCAAGATACCCCTTAAATACTCTTTCCTGTCTAAACCTATAAGCCACAAAAGCTGACCTGTTCTCCAAGCAGTCCTGTCATTCTCTGAGAAGAAGGCTTGCAGCTTTCCACTGCTGCCTTGCCTTTGCAATGGTTTGTCCCACTTCCTTCCTTGCTGTTACCACAGCACTGCAAGCCTACAGTAGGAAGGGAACAATTATTTAAGAACAAAAATAAATCAGAAAACTCCTTAGTCAGTGGTCTGCAAGGGAAAGTTTGATTTAAAATATACTAGTGCATTCCTCAGGCATGTCCCTTTTCTACCTCTGATTCCTCCATTTTCCATCTCATCATGTCTCCTCATCTTGGGCAGTGTCCAGTATACATTAAGAATCTGCCATAAGAAATTATCTTTAAATATTAAAATACAGTAAGAAGGAGAATAAGAAATAACAGAGATGGCTAAAGCATTGCAGTGCTGCACAACATCTATTACAAAGAAATTACTGTCCTCTGTCTAGTGTGCTTGTTTGAAACAAACTGGTAAGCAAATTTATGCTTCCACAGCATGCAAAGATGGGTCTGCATTTTTTCAATTATAAAATAGATGCAGAACTGATGAGAGACTTAGCAGGAATATATTAGAAAAAGATACCTAGGCTGGAATTCAGATATCTATTAAGATACCCAGATTCAGATACCAACAATCTACCTGAACGGATCTCTGCTTCAGCAGCAACTAGACTGAGCTCCTGTTATTACCAATAAAAACTTTAGTTGACACATTCAGTGAGGCTCAAAGAACCATTCAGCTCATCCTGAAGCAGACGCCTACACCAGGTCAGCTGAGGTGCTCTACAGATTATAAACTGTAAATGCCTACAGTGAGCTTATTGGGCTGCATAATGGGATACTGGTTTTGCAAAGTCACTTTCCAACTCCAGCCACACTTCACATGAAGGAAGGTAGTGGCAGCAGATCAGAAGGGAACAATGCCTTGAGCTGGCAGTATCATTTTATTCTCTCTAGAACATTATGTATTTCAGTATAGTTAATGCTATCAATTTATATAATCATCAAATAAGTCTGTAAGAACTGTGTTTCACTTCCAGCCTGCTCTACTATCTACCTTGCCGTCCTGAAGCCGAGTGCTGTATTTAAACAGCGGAGTGGACAGGGGAGATAAGGACTTTGGCACAACTTGCAAGAAACGTCTCTTTGCCCAAACATCAACTGCAGTTAGCTCCTGTAGCTGATGTGGTGTTTTCACACTTCAGTCGCAACTCATGTTTCATTCCCACTGATGAGTCAGGAACAGCAAAGCTCTGACTCTCCTTGATGCAAGGCAGTAGGGCACGAGGGAGCGCAGCAGGGGCTCAGACACTTTGCATACTAGAAGTATCCACATAACAGGTACCCAGGCTCACTGGTGAACTAGAAGCACAAGGAGTAAGCTTAAAAACAAGGCAGCTTTGCTAGATCTAGGTTTAGATCAGCTGTCTCAGCTGTGAGCCTGACAGCATGCTAACAGATCTCTGCCACACAGTGCTGAGTCCTTGCCCCAGGAGCCTGCAGGAGTCCACGTGCTCTCTCCACAGAGCCTGAGACCCCTGCAGGCTGAGAGGCTGCAGCTCTGCATGTCTGACACAACCAGGCCAAAAAAGCCCAGCTCAGCTGAATCAGATCCTATATGAAAACAGCAAGGTGACTTCACTCTGTGCTCTGCGCATTCTTCCATAGTACATCAAAGGTGCCTCTCCTTAAAGAAGTCTAGGAATGGAAGAGAGTGTGAGTGAGGTTTCCATATCCTTTGAAAACACACATAACAGCCCTGGAGCAGCCAAAACCCTGAGGGTCGCAGTACCCTGTTCATGTGGTGCTCTCTTTCATTTAATACCCTCAGCCTAAAGTGCTGAGCTGTTTCTGAAGGGGCATCCACAACCTCATCTGTCACTCTTATAATTTAACCACAGTAACTAAGAAATCAATAAAGATGATTAAGCTTCTCTTAGCTGTATGTGGTCTATGGACCCCTGCATGATCCTTTCTGTCTGTGTAAAAACAGTTTCTGTAGCAGAGCAGATGTGGTAAAACATGCTCTCACCAGAAGTATGACCTCAGCTGTTTTAATTCACTGTTTCAATCTGAGGTTAGTTTAGCTAGCTAGAAGTTCCCGTTCTGTACCTGTGTACAATGTGGCTGTTAACAGACGGATGGCCACAAGCCATGCTCCACCTGCATCCCCTTGAAACCAGGGCTCTGCTTGTGTGTACCAGGAGTGTGCCCTGGCATACAGCCAAACAGATGCAGCCTCATCTAAAATATCTTTCCAGAGATAACAGTAGATACTGAGAAGCCTGGATATCTAAATACTTACATGATAGCTAGGAGTTTATTGGAATAACTGTATTAATGGGAAACTAAAGAGTAAGAACTTTTATCAGGTAGCTTATCTTTATGCAGCAATTGTCTGTATCCTGTTAGAAAACTGTGGAAATGTGTTCATTTATAATGCAGGTCCCGAGACCATGTCTGACCACTGATACGGACCATGACACAATGTCAGTACTTTATCAGGTGTTTGATGGAGCTAGGAGGAGATCCCCTCAGCATTTCAATGTTCTGCAGACTGTCAGAAGCCAGAGCAGAGATTCAGACCACCAGAAAGCTATATAAATATGTCAGGGATTTCTACATAACACTTTAGCACAGAGAAGAGGTACCCAAGTTAACTGCTCTGAAGCTAGTTTAGTTCAGGAACCCAAGTGGTCTTGCTGCAGCAACTAGGCAATTGCCATGTTTTGTGATGCAATTACCAAACAGGCTGTTCCTCAGCACAGACCAGTGCTTGCTGGGCTATCTAAA